ATAATAATAATAATAATAATAATAATAATAATAATAATAATAATAATAATAATAATAATAATAATAATAATAATAATAATAGTAGTAGTAGTAGTAGTAGTAGTAGTAGTAGTAAAGTTGGAAGGGACCTTGGAGGTCTTCTAGTCCAACCCCCTGCTTAGGCAGGAAACCCTATACCATTTCAGACAAATGGCTGTCCAGTCTCTTCTTAAAAACTTCCAGTGTTGGAGCATTCACTGCTTCTAGAGCATTCACTGCTTCTAACTGTCAGGAAGTTTCTCTTTAGTTCTAGGTTGCTTCTCTCCTTGCTTAGTTTCCACCCGTTGCTTCTTGTCCTGCCTTCAGGCGCCTTGGAAAATAGCTTGACTCCCTCTTCTTTGTGGCAGCCCCTAAGATATTGGAACACTGCTATCATGTCCCCCCTTGTCCTTCTCTTCATTAAACTAGACATACCCAATTCCAGCAGCTGTTCCTTATATGCTTTAGTTTCCAGTCCCCTAATCATCTTTGTTGCTCTTCTCTGTACTCTTTCTAGAGTCTCAACATCTTTTTTGCATCGCGGTGACCAAAACTGGATGCAGTATTCCAAGTGTGGCCTTACCAAGGCATTGTAAAGTAGTATTAACACTTCACGTGATCTTGATTCTATCCCTATGTTAAAGCAGCCTAGCACTGTGTTGGCCTTTTTGGCAGCTGCAGCACACTGCTGGCTCATATTTAGGTGATTGTCCACTAGGACTCCGAGGTCCCTCTCACAGTTATTGCTATTGAGCAAGGTACCCCCTATACTATACCTGTGCATTTTGTTTTTCTTGCCTAAATGTAGAACCCTGCTTTTTTCACCATTGAATTTCATTTTGTTAGATAGTGCCCAGTGTTCAAATCTGTCGAGATCCTTCTGTATCTTAAGCCTGTCTTCTGTATCTTAAGCCTGTCTTATCCTCAAGGAGTTCCAAGAAATCATCACTAATGTGTGGTCAGATACTGCAATTTTTCCTCTAGGATAATGAGCTACCTTTTAAATACTTTCGCATATTTTTTTAATCTAAACACTTCCAATGTCAACAGCTCTAGCTATGGCCTTTTATGATAAATGCTCCCTTTATCTAAGCTGATTTTGAGTATTAATGAAGTGAAAAGCAGATTTAATCCTGGTTTCATTTACAGTTCTCTTTTGATCTATTGTTTGTTGCTCAGGAAAACCCTTTGACATCACAACAATTCTGACTGCTGCTGTTTCCAACATCATCATTTCTATCCTACTCGGGAAACGCTATGAATATGAAGATGCCAAATTTCTACAACTACTGAAGGCAAACAGTGAAAATATTCAGCTTTCAGGAAGCCCTGCTATGTTGGTAAACTAATTTTTAAAAACTGTCACAAAAAACAGGCAGCACAATGACTTAGATGAGGGACTGGAAGGGGAACACATCAAATATGCAGATTACACTAAGCTGGCAGGAATAGCCAATACCCCAGAAGCAAGCTTAGGATCCAAAAAGATCTTGATAGACTTGAACAATGGGTCCTATCAACAATTTAATATGGAGAAAAGTAAGGTTTTACACTTAAACTAAAGGTACAAGTACAAGATTAGGCAAAACCTGGCTCAAAAACAGTAACTGTGAGAGGGACCATTGGAGTCCGAGTGGAAAATCACTTAAATATGAGTCAGCAGTGTATGGCAGCAGCCAAAAAAGCTAATACAATCCTTGGTTCCATAAACAAAGGCATAGAATCAAAATCACATAAAGTATTAGTACCAGTTCATAAAACCTTACTAAGACCACACCTGAAATACTGCATCCAGTTTTGGTCGCCATATTACAAAAAAGATCTTGAGACTTTCAAAAAAGTGCAGAGAAGAGCAACTAAAATATTTAATGGCCTGGAGACTAAAACATACGAAGAACGGTTGCAGAAATTGGGTATGGCTAGTCTACAGAAAAGAAGGACTTGGGGGGGGGGAGACATGATAGCAGTATTCCAGTATTTGAGGGCCTGCCACAAAGATAAGACAGTCAATTTATTTTCCAAAGCAACAGAAGGCAAGAGAAGAAACAATGGGTGGAAACTAATCAAGGAGAGAAGCAACCTGGAATTAAGAAAAAACTTCCTAATAGTGAGAACAATTAACCAGTGGAACAGCTGCCTTCAGAAGTTGTGGATGCTTCATCACTGGAGGTTTTTAAGAAAAGACGGAACAGTCACTTGTCTGAAATGGTATAGGGCCGTGGTGGCGAACCTATGGCACGTGCCACATGTGGCACACAGAGCCCTCTCTGTGGGCATGTGTGCCATCGCCCTAGTCCTAGGCCTTCAGCTGGGTTTTGTAAATCCTTTTTGGTTTAGGCCTCCATCGCCGTGTGCAAAAAAAAAAAAGGTTCAATCAATCAATCAATTTCAACTTCTCACGGGAAAAAAAAATCTCGCAAAGATGGAATTGATTGATTGAACTTTTTAGTCCCACCCTGTCTGCCATTTCCACTACAGCCACGCCCACCCAATGGGCCATGTCTACCCAATTGGCCACACCCACCCAATGGGCCACACCCACCCAATGGGCCACACCCACCTGGCACCCGATGATACATAAGTGAATTTTGGGTTGCAGTTTGGGCACTCGGTCTCTAAAAGGTTCACCATCACTGGTATAGGGTCTCCTGTTTGAGCAGGGGTTGGACTAGAAGACCTACAAAGTCCCTTCCAGCTATATTCTGATTGATTGGTTGGTTGGTTGATTAGTTGGTTGATTCTCAAGTTTTATTGAGAAGCAAAGCATGTTGCTTCTCCTGAGCATCTATAGCAAGATTACATCCAAAAACAACATGAAGATGATGACATCAGGATTCAAATCCTACCTTTATGTAGTTGCATGCAAACATTTCATGAAAGTATGGAAACCACTTTTTAACATCATGACCTCATGATGTGTGCTTCATCATTTCCTCTCCCTTCTTTGCAAAGACTTGTGAACACACTCAAACTGGAAAAGTGGGAGTCTTCATTGAAAATATCTTTCCATCTTTCCTTTTCTTTATACAGTATTCTATACATGTACTAAACTGCTGCCTTGACAAGGACTTGCATTGAGTTTTTTTCATTGATGATTCACACCACTTGTTTGGGAATTAACACAATGTTCCCATGGGAACTCATTCAATAGTATGGTAGAAAATAAGCACTCTCTCTCCCAAAACCTATGTGGAGGTTCAGTCCATGGGATTTGGGGCTTAGTTAATTAGCAATATTGACTATTCAAAGCTCATTCAGTCATGTGATCTTACTCATTATTGTAGGGTTTTGTTTTGTTTTGTAGACTTGGGGAACATAAACATGTTTGAGATGTCCATGTGAGAAATTCAAGGTATTCAACTTCCATAATATATGTTTTCTTTTATCTTTCTTTCAGCTATATAATTTGTTTCCCATGTTGGGGTTCCTTTTGGCTACTCCTAAATCAATGATAAAGAATCAGAATAAACTTCATGATTTCATACAGACCATCCTCAAACAATATTTACAAGATCTTGATGAAAATGACCAGAGCAATTTGATTGAATCATTTCTTGTTCGGCAAAGAGAAGTAATGAATTATTTTATACGTGTGTGTAATTACATTTTTTTTACATATTTTAAAAATTTGCCTCCATAGAAATTATCTGCTGGTTGGTTAAGGTCCTTGTTTCAGAAATATAGAAGGAAACACATTTTTTAGTCATTCCCTGTGCATTACTTTTTTTCAGAATCTGCAGCTGCTTAGAACTACACTACAGATTGATTTTTTTTCTCCATTAAAAACTCCATAAATATTAATCATTTTCTGGAGGAATGGCTCCAAGGGGTGGTGGGAATGGGTGATCACTTTGTGCCAATGGTTTCTTTGTATGTATAATTGTTTGATATTAGAGTTTTTCTAATGTGTGTGCAA